TATATAAAATCTTGAAAATGTTTAAGGTTATCTCACTCACTATATTTCATTTTCATGTCATTTTTGTTTTTCTATTATTTAGGTAGTTATGACTAGAGAATTAAATGAGTTAGATCCAAGCTCGAACTCCAGATATTTGAGGCTGGACTCGAGCTTTTATAGAGCTGATAAATGAGCTCGAAATCAACTCATTTATTAATATTAGTGAGTCGAAAAAGAGTTTTGATGAACTAGAAACATTTTCTATTTTCGAGTCTTAATGAGCTCGACTGTTTAATTAAACGAGATTTAAAGATAGCCTCTAGAGTCAAGCTCACGAGCAATTCATTTCGTCACAGCTAGTTTTGACTGTTATGGTTAGGCAGTCATACATTTTAAATAATTATTTATATTTTATTATGCTCCAATGTCAAATTTTAAAATAAAGACAAAAAACAAATTGATAGTTTTATAATATAATTTTTTAAGAAAATATGATTGTGTTAGTTATGTAAAATATATTATTGTATTGTAGGTTAGATTTAGGCCCAACTTAAGATTAAGACACGTCTATGCATCTATATATATGTGTACTTGTCTTTGTGACTATATAATACATATTTTTCCCACATTCTCACATGGTATCATACTAGGTTAGGGTCAATTGTAGGCTTGTTCTCGTAGTTCGTCTTAAGCCATTTCTGACCCTCTCCACCCCCGCGATCATCTCCGACATCTCGAGGAGAGTCGTCGTCTGAAATTTCAGAGCCATCGGCGGCGCGTGTGAAGCTCACGCGCCACTTCACCGTCGCGGCGCTGTGCCCTTTTGCCGACACGTGTGGGCCACCCCTATGTCCGTTTGCCGCCGTTTTTCACCCGTTGACTGGTCTCATCGTTGGTTGCATTTTGGTGTGATCGGTTTTGGTATCGTAAAGTTTTATTTATGCATGTACTGATATTTTTGACGGTTTTGTGATCCGATTCGTATCTTGTTTTCATCTATTTTGTGATATTGTGTTGATATGCTTTTGCATATGGATCGTATGGATGTGCATTCTCCAATTAGTGTTGTCTTATCAGGAGATAATTGAAATCTTTGAGCACAATCTATGAAATATTTTTAATTGAGAGAAAATTGTGGTGAATTGTGACGGGCGATGTATTACCACCTCTACATCCATCTCTTTAAGCGGATCCCAACTCCACACCACAATCTCTTACATCATAATTCGATAAGTTGGAAGATTGAAATAGTAAGAACCAACAGATTATTACTTGGTTACATAACACTTCTGTAAGAAACGAGAGAAACGGGTGTAGTCCCACTAACATGAAGCGCACCAAACGCAGGAAAAGCTCATATAAAGCCCAAGTGGAGTTCCATCCAAAAACCAATTGGTGGAAGGAAGAGTAGCCCATATGACTTATAAGGTGGGTCTATTTTCAATATATAAACGATGTGAGACAACTCACAAGTCATATTCTAACAATTTCGATCCCTGCTATTCAAGTGCAACTTGCCCCATTTGACAGTACGAAGAAGGCTTGGGATTTTTTGGCTGCTCGATTTCAGACTACAGGTTTGACTCACAATTATCAGCTTTGGAGCACCTTGCATTTCACCAAGTAGCAACCGGGTCAGTCGGTCATACTAAAGTTTTGTAGTGCAACATATGAAAATTTTTCTTTTTTAACTCACCGGAATTTTATATAATTGTATTAATTAGTAGATTTGGAACAAATAAATATATTCATATAGATATTCAAATTAATATCAAACCACGCAAATTCTCAAATATTTTTTAGAATGATGCCATATGAAATCCTTGTGAAAATGAAATTTTTAGATGTACTTTTTGTGTTTTGAAATATTATTGTTAAAATATCCTCTCTAACCCAATATATAATTATATTAGTCAAATAACCAACGCCGTACGCCGCTCTACAAGCAATATTTATCAAAGATTGTAAAAGGGCTTTCATTTTCGTGGATAATAACTAAAAATATATTAAACGAAAAAGCACATAAATAGCATGTTAAGTTACTGTGTAAACAAGAATAAAGATTGAGATAAAATCAAAAAAAGCAATAGGAAAAGGATGTTTAAGCTAGAAAATATTGCAATAAAATAAAGAATTGAGGATATCATCAAGATCTGTGTATCACTATCAACCATGACTTTCTGAACTCGTTAATTAAGGTTAACCGTAATTAGGCTATTATCTATGATTATTATTATTATTATTATTAATTTATTATTATATGTTTCGTCCCAATATTTACCATTTAATTAGAACATATATAATTGAACTTTATATAGTTATAAATTTAATTAATTCTCAGGAGCAAGTTTTTATTTCGTTAAACAATTGGGTAATTAATTAATATTGTTTATTAAAAATGGTGTAACCACTAACAATGGGGCCAAAATTAGAATATAGGACGACATACATAAGTTTAAATATAAAATTCCAAAAAGATTACATATATATTATATTTTTAATTGACATATAAAATTCCAAAAAGATTACATATACTTAATTAATTAATTATTCATCACCAAATAATGGCAGTCAACTGTTAGCTGGTGTGCCATCAAATCTTCTTTTGATTTTTCCATTAGTTTGAATATATATATATATATATATATATATATATATATATATATATATATATGAAACTCTTTGATTATTTGTTTGTTGCTTGACTTCTTGCCCTTTGAAGAAAGTTAGACATTCAATTTATTTTATTTACTACCTGGCAAATAGTTTAAATAGTTTAACATCACCAAATAATATAAGTTATTTTTTTTACTTTTACTTTTAAAATTCTTATTTTTTTATGATTGCAATTAATGTTCTTTGTTAATTAAGTTGGGGTCTACTCTTTTTCTACATTGGATTCTTATGTATGATGAGAGTATTTTTAATTATTTATGCACAAATTCTTATATCAGATTTATTGTTGGTCGGGTCACCCATCACACATTTTTATACAAAACTAGTATATGCTCGGGCGAGGTCAATTTGATTATACTAAGCATTAAATAAAATATAAATTAAATAATATAAATTATAATTATAATAATTTACTATTTATTGTGTAAATTTTACTTGCACACAATATCATATATGCCAATTGGTGTTTATATGTATACATTTTTGTTGAAATTTCATCATTTTCTTATAGTTGTAGCAATGCCAATATTTTTAGCTTTTTGGTTGATCATTTTTAAAACTAGCATTAGTGATATTGTGGTCGAAATTTTAGATCATCAGTAAATTATATATTAAACTAATA